GGGATGCGGATTCGAACCCGCGACTCTCAGATTACGAGTCGAGCGCCCTAACCACCTGGCCATGACGGGCCTTGCTACAGAAATGTACACACGTGATGAATCGTCCATTTCTTTACCCCTGGAAACAATATTTATTGTTTTTAATTTTACTAAACCCTTGCATGGGCAGCTTATCATCAACTTGTCAACCATTCTTGTTATAAATACATCTCTCGACCTTATTTAATACCAGTACAACTAAATTTTAACTTCGACTGTGGGTGGTGACGTCACGGGGGTAGGGGCTGTCGAAAGACTCACGAAAGATATGTTGAATTTCAGTTTGTCATCGTAGCTCGAAAGTAAACTTTATGTGTAGAAATGTACTTTTTGGATTCCCGAGAATTGGGAGGTAACGAATTGCTAAGTTCCATGAAAAGAGGTCCTGATCCTAAAATGTTCGGATGCCCCACTTCTATACCATAGGGCATAATAAACAATTCAAATAACTAGCGCTCCATAGGGCATAATAAACAATTCAAATAACTAGCGCTCTATAGGGCACAATAAACAATTCAAATAACTAGCGCTCCATAGGGCATAATAAACAAATCAAATAACTAGTGCTCCATAGGGCATAATAAACAATTCAAATAACTAGTGCTCCATAGGGCATAATAAACAATTCAAATAACTAGCGCTCCAGAGAGCATAATAAACAATTCAAATAACTAGTGCTCCATAGGGCATAATAAACAATTCAAATAACTAGCGCTCCAGAGAGCATAATAAACAATTCAAATAACTAGTGCTCCATAGGGCATAATAAACAATTCAAATAACTAGCGCTCCATGGGGCATAATAAACAATTCAAATAACTAGTGCTCCATAGGACATAATATACAATTCAAATTACTAGCGTTTCAATCAAGACTTTGTATATTACAACCCAGTCAGTCTGATGAGCTTTGGCAAACTTTCTAATAGAATGGCTTGATCTAAGTACTTTAATCATAACATGGGTGGCAAAGTAACTTACGTCATGGATAACTTCAGAGGAAGATGTAGAAGTTTGAGTTTTGGTTTTTTCCTGTTTGGATATTTCTTTGGTGCTAGACTTGAAATCTGTAAAACATATGAATATTCCAGCTCGAGTAGAGAAAATATCAGATGTAAGCTAATAAAGTAACTAATTTATTAGAATCGAGTTAGTACAATGTCTCGCAAAGTATCACATGCTCAAATATTCGGGTAATCTCTTAACAAAACTCAAAATTTCTGTTGTTCCTCTTAGTTCCGAGCAGCTGGCAACAAAAGCGAAGTCCCAACTTATAACGGAGAAATAGACGACTAGACACACTTGTTAGACTTCTTTATTTCAACTGCTTTAAACTCCAAGGAGCAATATAACAACTCCAAAACTACGTTGGAGCTACAGAATATTCAAATTAAAATTTCTGATATCATTCTCGAGGCGGAGAAGGTTTCACAAATAAAGATTGTTTACACTTGACACATTAAATAATATAAAATGTATATATATTTTATTTAAACTTTGATCCTTGCTAAATTAATGTAGCTACATTTCTATCTTTGATAGTCTTAAATGGTAAAATTTTAATGGTAAATTTCCCAAGATGCCTTGTTACCTTTCAGAACCATCTGTAAATAAGAGTCTCGGACTTCTTCGCATACATGCTGCAAAACTTGATAGACCCATCTGTTTGTTTAATTAATTCTCAGTGAAAGACCTCAATAACATGAATAGAAACGTTAACGTGTGTTTCAGTTTTTTTCTTTCTTTTAACAGTTGACCAATTTGTTTGATTTTAGTTTTTTCAGTGTATTATCAATACCTGCCACACGAGCCAACCCAGCATCTTTTAGTACTGAGCCTAGGATGGTAATTTAGGAAACTGGTGATATGTGGTTATTTCGTTAGATCACGATGAGGCTCAGCACAACTTCTAAAACTAAAACTTAAAAGAAACAACGAACAATGCTAAATATTAATGTAAATGTGACATGATGAAATATTAACCTGATGATGACCTAAGGAGGTCGAAACGTTGTTACTTGTTTTGTGCTTTTCAAATAAAAGTTTTAAATACCCATATCAACTGTACTATATATATATATTAACTTTTCCATGTTGGCTCTCATGGTCTCGGGTCAGGTCACGAGTCTGGTCCAGCGACGTAGGTCTAGAATATAGCGCAATATTCTTTTTATCTAATCAAAACAACCCAAACCTTTCCGGAATGATCCAATTTTTAAAATCCGCATCAAGATGCCAGGCTGGCTCTTGAGGCAGGTGTTAAAATAAATAAGACTCGTTTGTCAATAATACCAAAGAAGGCAGTAAGTTGAGTAGGTCTAACAGTAAGGAAGGTAGTAGGTTGAGTAGGTATAATGGAAAGGAAGGCAGGTAGTTGAGTGAGTCTAACGGTAAGGGAGGCAGCAGGTTGAGTAGGTCTAACAGTAAGGAAGGCAGTAGGTTGAGTAGGTATAACGGAAAGGAAGGCAGGTAGTTGAGTGAGTCTAACGGTAAGGGAGGCAGTAGGTTGAGTAGGTCTAAGAGCAAAGGAGACAACTGGTTGAGTAAGTCTAACTGCAAGAAAGGCAGTAGGTTGAGTAGGTCTGACAGCAAGGGAGGCAGTAGGTTGAGTAGGTCTAACAGCAAAGGAGATAACTAGTTGAGTACGTCTAAATGGCAAGGGAGGCAGTAGATTGAGTAGGTCTAACAGCAAAGGAGACAACTGGTTGAGTGAGTCTAACGGCAAGGGAGGCAGTAGGTTGAGTAGGACTAACAGCAAAGACAACTGGTTGAGTAGGACTAACAGCAAAGAAGACAACTGGTTGAGTAGGTCTGATGACAAGAGAGGCAGTAGGTTGAGTACGTCTAAAGGCAAGGAGGCCAGTAGGTTGAGTAGGTTTAACAACAAGGAAGATAACTGGTTGAGTTGGTCTAATGGCAAGGGATGCAGTAGGTTGAGTAGGTCAAACAACAAGAAAGGCAGCTGGTTGAGCAGATCTAATGGTAAGGGTCGCTACAGTCTTTAGTGGTCCCTTGGCTGTTCGTAACAAGGAAACTCTAAAACATCCGCATGCGAAAGTATTAATATCAATCCAATATCCAGATGGACTATTTAGTACATGTCCCCATCGATCCATTGCTTTCAATACAAATACAAGAAAGACTTTTCCATAGCTATACTCAATATGTGGTACGTCATTTTCATAGAACAATGCTAAGGACACTTTCAAAAGAAACTAAGCGTGTGGAGAAAAAAGTAGTGCATAATTTAGCAGCTCGTGTCGTGTTTACACTAATATTCCTCCGCGCGAACATTATTCACCTATGTATGAATGTATTTTTTCTTCGTATTCTTCCGACGCAGTAAATAATTTATCTATCAACACGTAATGTTTATACTAGCGCCTTTAGTGTTTTAAGAGTTTTGTTTTCATTGAAATTTTATAATATTTTTTCTTGAGAGTTACATCAATTACCATTTTTTAAACATTTTGGAATATAATCAACAGCTTTCAATTCTTTCTGGATTATACGATACTTTCAGTAGTTATGTTCCTGTTTTTCTCAACTAATTAAATGAAAGACTGGAATAATCATGTTAATAGAATTGTAATAAGTACTTGCGCAGAGTCCCCGAAAGTGTTCTGTTTCAAGAATAAATTAAACCAAAATTAAGAGTAACAAATATTTCTATTTCTTGATTTTGAAGTTCATATGTCATGCTGTGTTGTAGCCTACGGGGTGCATAATTCTTCTCGTGATTCACGACACGCGCACGTTTTACTGACGTCACTTATGCGACGTCATTTTAGTGTCTGCTGACTGACTGACAGACAACACACTACTGTATACTGGTGTGAGTGGTTAAAACAGGTGACACCTACAGGCGGCCTTAGGCCCCCTTTCGGGGAAATGCCATTACGTAATTAGTTTACATTACTTTTTTCTTGAACTTTCTATTATCTACAGGCTTATTGTGTTCCATTTACGGATTTTACAAAATCCGTATCGTTATTTATTTGTGATCAATTCTGATAGTAAACTGTATCAAAACAAGTTGGTGATTTAAGAGTTAAGAATAACTGTATGAAAAACTCTACGTTAGCCTTTATTAAGTTGTTCAATATTATAAGTGATCATTAATACATTGTCTTGTACTATTGAAAAAAAGACAAAACATTTATTGTTATTAGTGGACATTGCAGACGTATTTTTAAAATAAATAAATAACATCAAATATTAAACTGAACAAATGATGCTGGAGAAACAGAACAGAGACAGAAATGACAGATTAACATAGCTCAGAGTTGTAACAAATACACAGTATTGTTAGTTATAGATTCATTGGGTGGGGGCCTCAGTCAGGATGCTGAATGTTCTACGGGTCTTGTACTGAAAAAGTTTGAGGACTCATGGCTTAAAGGTCGCCACTGGAGAAGTGTATAGTGGCGAAAGTGAAATCGTGGGAAAACGCGGAGATAGAGGAAAAATAGAATTGCAGACACTTTGCACTTGAAAACTCAAACACTCTTTTAAAATTACACGGTACCGTACTGTTTCCAGTTTACACGATAACATATTGTTACTACGTTACACGGTATCATATTGTTACTAAGTTACACGGTACCGTACTGTTTCCAATTTACACGATAACATATTGTTACTAAGTTAGTAACAATATATTATCGTGTAAATTGGAAACAGTACGGTACCGTGTTACTTAGTAACAATATGTTATCGTGTAAATTGGAAACAGTACGGTACCGTGTACCTTAGTAACAATATGTTATCGTGTAAATTGGAAACAGTACGGTACCGTGTGGGTACACGGTATCGTACTGTTTCCAATTTACACGATAACATATTGTTACTAAGTAACACGGTACCGTACTGTTTCCAGTTTACACGATAACATATTGTTACTAAGTAACACGGTATCGTACTGTTTCCAAGGTACACGGTACC